CATGTTTTGCTGGCAAAAAGATTACAGAACTCTTGAAAAAACTGGAGAAAGAAGATGCATTACCAGATATTAGTTGGGTGAGAGTTCCATAAATACGTATACAATTGATTAATATAGCATGTGCAAGAGTATGGAACGTGCACCCGGTAGTGGTACACTAATTATACATTTAGTAAAAAGACGTACTATGTTCAGGATATCTCAATTACCCTGAGCAGTCGTGTGATATGGGCCGCACAAGTCCAATCCTACTTTATCCCAAACTGCTACAGTGGTAATTGGTCGTAACAGAGTATGAGAATAGGGCCTAGGTTAAACAAGACACTGTCCATTTGAGTAAATCCGAATATTTAGTGTTCCAGTGATATTTAGCGACTTTATACAAAACCTTTTTGAAGCTAAAATGTCCTTCCACTAAGGGTGAAAGGTGGAAGTAACCGAAAACGAGAGAACGAAGAGCCGCTGGAATAACGAGTGGAGTGCTGTGCCGTATATGGATGTGCGAGGTTGAATGATTATTGGTCGGTATAGGGCGGCGAAAACGCAGACATCCGGTATCGTCAATAAAATAGGACTTAACTGTTTGAATGAATTTCTGTAAAGGAGATGGCGATTCAAGTATGGGAAGGATCCCATATCGTAGGAATTGTATAAAGAGTGAAAGCTCAACATCTTTGTTTTGTTCTTCCGTTATATCAATGAGATATCTGTCGTCATTGGGTTTGCGTAAATGAAGTTGATTAGATGCCGTTACACCACAGATAGGATGGAATTTAACTTCCATCAACAAACAGCGAGGGAATTCGATATCTTCCATGTCAGGTGATAGATTCGGTGCGGTATCTTCATCGACTCGGGATAGAGCATCAGCTGCACGATTTTGTTCTCCCTTGATGAATTCGACAGTGACATTGTAGTTCTGTAGCTCAATTACCCAACGTGCTAAGTTCGGATGAGCTGAAGCTTTCTTAAGTATGTAAGACAATGGTTTATGATCGGAATGAACAACAGATTTTGACATCATAATGTACGGTCGAAACATACGCAAGGCATAAACAGTAGTAGCAAATTCAACTTGAATAATAGGCCATTTTCTTTCACCTTCTGTAAAAAAGCGGCTGCGGTAGGATATGGCTTGATACAACATAAAATGCACTTGCTTGAGCAACAGCTGAACACTCAGTGAAGATGTGGAAAGGTCTGTCATAATCAGGATAAGTGAGTATGGGTTCTTGAAACAAGAGAATTTTGATCTTTTCAAAAGCTTTTTATTGAAAACGACAATTCTTTTTTGTGAGTTCAGCTAATGGAGCAGTAATGTTAGCAAAAGAGGGAGTAAATTTTCTACAAAATCCTGCTAGACCGCAGAAGCGTCTGATATGTTGAGCTGTTTTCGGCGCAGGGAAATTTCGAACTGCTTCAAATTTTGCGGCAGGTTTGTATCCGTTCTTGCCAATATGATGGCCTAGGAATGGAATAGACTTATGAACAAAATTACATTTGGCTGATGTGAGTTTTGGATTAAATTGACGAAGACGTGTGAAGACTCGTTGTAATACTTTTAGATGTGCGGAAAAATCTGGTGACTTTGAATAGATAAGAATGTCATCTAGATAAAAGCATACACCATCACTTAGATCAGCTAAAACATGAGCGACGGTACGGTAGAAAATACTAGTGGAGAAAAAGTGTGGTTATCTAAGTCTAGGTGCCGCGTATTTCAGTAGATCGAACTATCCCTGGAAGGTGTCGGGCCAGACTAAAGTAGGACAAGTTTTATTACACAAGACACCAGTTTACAGGCGCACAAGCGTATATTTAGGTAGATTACAGACGAAGTGTGTCAGCCGGCACAGTCGTAAGCAGGTGAACGCGGACCCCGAACATCGGATCCTCGAGCTTATACCGCTCTGCCTGTAAGTAATATCATGAGTCACAATCTCCGACAACGGGGATTGAGAATGCTCCGCATGGGAATGAAACACGGGATTTGACCATCGTAGATCTCATCTACGGTGGAAAAAGGGGCGGGAGAATAGGCAGTCTGAGAACGACGGAATCGGACTTCTGTCGGAGATCCGATCTCCGCTGGGAACGTCGATTCCCGACGTCCCGGTGGAATGTCATCGAAACATGACACATCATTTTCTTTATTTTATTTTTAGGGTTTTAACATTTGGAATGGGGGTAGGGGAACAAGGCGAAGAATTCGCCTTTACAGTGGCATTTTTCAAGCCGAAAGGGAGATGAGTAAATTGATAGCATTTGTCCTCAACCATGATGCCGAGTTTCTTGCTCATTTGATCTGAAATCTTGATTTGTAAGAAACTTTGACAGAAATCGAGAGTAGAATAATATTCGCAATTGCCTATACGTTCAAGTATGGTGTCCAAACGAGGTAAAGGAAAGATTTCTGCTACAGTTACTGCATTTAATTTTCTATAATCCACACACATCCTAATACCACCATCCTTTTTATGGACAAAAACAAGATTTGCTAACCAACTAGTTTTTGATTCTTTGAGTACACCTGCTCTGATTAGGTACTCAATTTTTTGTTGCAGTTCTGCTCGGAACTTAAGAGGCACTCTAGTGGGGCGCATAGTGACTTGTATGTCTGTAGTGAGAGTAATGTCATGACGAATAGTTGAACATATTTGTGTTTGCTGAAAATATCAGAGAATTCGTTGAGTAACAATTTAAGTTGGTCACAATTAGCGGAAATAATCTCACATTGGCTAAAATCAAATTCAAGTGGTGTTGGAGGATCTGAAACGGAAGAAAGATGATGACATGAGAAAGGGCATTGGTCTACATCTGGAGAATGAGAGGAATGAGGTATATGTTTTGCCAAAACATCAGCATAAGCTATGGCAGTTTTTCGAAATATTGTTAATGGTTCATTAGTGGGATTAGCAATTAGAATATGAAATAAAGATGCCTGAGGCGATACAATCCCGGGTGTAAGTGTAAGATGCTGTAAAGATAAGCGTACATCTATGGTATCAATAAGGAGGACATTATTTTCACCAGTAAATTCGTACGGAGCAAAATCTACGTAGCAATGAAGGAAAGTTTCCGCATGTGGGGCTAAAATGGTGTCGTGCAGGAGTCGTACAGGAATGGCGGATAGCTGAGATGAAGATTTGGGTGGATTGCAGAGCGGCAGAATAAGATTGTTGACAGTGAAGGTGTGAGCACAGATGTTTATGGTGAATGCTGGGAAAAGGCGGAGGACGTCGCATTCTGATAGGATATTGAAGCTTTGTTCACTGGTCGTGTGCAAATCATCACAGAAATGCAAGAAAGCATTGGCTTGCACATCTGCTATTTGAAAACAAACCTTT